AGAAGTCTGGCGCAGGCTGCTAGCCATGATGGCTCTATGGTGGAACCTCCATCAGCAAAGGCAGTATCGCTCTGAGTACCAGTTGCTGGGGAGTGATGGTGAGAGAAGGCTATCACCTTTGTATTCTGTTCATAGAAGTTTTCAGAGGCATGTACTTGGTTTCTGAGGAAGCAGAACGTATGATTGAATATCCAGCAGGGTGCTTTTTATTATCAAATTAAGCAGAAACCAGATTTATTTAGTAAAGGGAGATCATCAACAGATCCTTAACCATGGCAATAAATGGAGCTGCACTACTTAAGAAAAGTTATCTTTAGTGTTTGTACATGCCTTCCAATTGCCTGTTGACTTATGGCAACCCCATACATTTCGTGGGATTTTCTGAGAAAGGTGTTTTGCCATTTCCTTCTTCTCAAATATAATCTGGTATTCCTTGGTGGTCCTTCATCCAAGTACTAAACAAGCCTGACCCTACTTAACTTCCAAGATCAGACAAGATGCGGTGCCTTCAAAGTATTTCCTCCACTGGCCATGTTGGCCGGGGGGGTTCTGAAATTTATAGTCCAAAAAATTACATTTTGGAGTTCTCAACTCAAAAAATGTAGTTCAGACCTTGGTTTCTATATACTGACCCAATGCCAAGCCCAGCCCAAGACATTTTGCTGCCCAAGGCAAAAGACAAGGTGCTCACCGCCCATTCCACATACAGAAGCAAATGGCGTGGAACATTACTTCAGCACTGGGTCAGCATTTTCCTACATCCCTGAGGTCATCATGCCTAGTTTAGGATACGCATCCTTACCTTTGTCCTCCAATAGAGAGGATTAGTGAGAGAACTTGGAGGCAGCCCATCCTCTCAACATCTATCAGCTGAGATGTCTGCCATTCTCTGCCCAATTTCCCCCTCCCAGATCAGCTTAAGAATAATCAAGCAGGACATAAGGTCTAGCTAAGTATGGCCCTATATGGTTGTCCGTATTATTTGCCATAAAGTCAACCTCAAGTTATGGTGACCCTACGAATGAGACACCTCCAAGAGTCTCAGACATCAACTCAGGTCTTCCAAAGTCAGGACCATGGCTTCCTTGTCTGCATCAATCCACCTGTAATACCATCTTCCTCTTTTCTCTTTCCAAAATACCTTTCCACTTTGCTGAACACTGTCGACTTTTCCAACCGTCATCTCATGATCGGTCCAAAGTGTGACAGCCTCATTTTCATCATCTTGGTTTGATTTGCTCCAAGACCTCTTTATTTGCATTTCTAGCAGAACTCTCTTCCAACACAACATTGCAAATGCACTGATTTCTTCCTCTCAGCTTGCTTCGCTGTCCAGCTTTTACATCCATACATAGAAATTGGAAATACAATGGCATGGGTGATTTGGGGCTTGGAATCTAATGATATATATAAAGATATATCATTGAAGAGCTTATCTAGTTAACTTTTATGGCAACAGAATGTTTTCCTCTGTGAAACAAATGGTACCTTTAATGGAGTATGCATGCATGTGTGTGTGAATGTGTTGCGTGTGTGTGTGTGTGTAAAAGATTTGAACTAGAAAAATAGCATACCTCTATTACTATGGTGGAGAGCCAGTGTTGTGTAGAGGTTTGAGTGTGGCGACCAGGGTTCAAATCCACACTAAGCCACGGAAACCCCCCTTGGACAGCTCACTCTCTCTCATCCTTAGAAAAAGGCAATGGCAAAACTGCCTCTGAACAAATCTTGCCATGAAAACCTGATAATAGTTTAGCCTTAGGATCGCCAGAAGTTGGAAATTTGAAGGCACACAACAGCAGTAGCTATGGCATTTTCCCCCCAAACCTATTACCTTGTGGTTGTGATCATCTTTTCAAGTAGCTATAGGACATCAGACCCCATATACTTCATTTCTACCTTGCAGGGATGTGGTAGGTATGAATTAAAAGAACATAAAGTATGTGAAATGCTTTTAATGTTCCACTGCAAGATAATACCTAAGTATTACTGTACTGTCCTTACTACTATTATTATTACTGTTAGTACGCAATACTCCCATAGTATACTCTCCCACATTTGACAGATGTAAGCCAGGACATGTATGACCAAGAGTGTGTTCAATATAGCAAAAGTTATTCAAGATGAAGAACACACAAGTAAGGAGATGCTACAGCAGTTTGCTTTTGTCTGAGTCCACTGGGAAGGGCAAGACTCTGCTTCCTCCTTCCCTTTCCCCCCTGCAGCCCAAATAAATCAGAATTTAAATCAGAATGACCTGATATCAAATGAAAACATTTAGGAAGACACTGGGCTTTTTTAAAAAAATGTCTCAGACTGTAGTTATGATCAGATTTAGTAAAGGATAAGCCCCATTGAACACAATATGACGTACATCTGAATTACCATGCACAGAAAAGTAAATCTCCATTTAATGTTTACAGTGCTGTCAACTTGCCAAGTTCAGTCACTGTATTTACATAGATATCTAATCCTTAAATCAAGGAACTCAAGGAAATGTGATTTCCCTCTTCCTGAAACTGGACCGAAGCAAGCTGAGATCCTAAGCTATGTCAGGTTTAAGAGTTCCAATAGAGCACTGCCTTTAAAATGTGCATTATTTTAACAAATTGGTGACTTCCAAAAAACGTTTAGAGGCCTCTCATAACTTGAAGTCTGTTTCTAAACCAAAAGTGGGCAACTTTTAGGGATTAGGAGGCTACACCACCACCCCAAGGAGACCTTGGAAAACTGCATCTCCCCCCAAAACATGAATTCTCCCCTCCAGTGTCCCCAAATGCCCACTAGGTTGGTGCAGGGGGCAAACCTGGCAGGGTTTTGATGCTCTATGATCAATTTTGGGAGAAGCCTTTTTGCAACAGGGAGCTGACCTAAAGTGCAGAAATAATGCACTTTGACATCACGTTAAGTGCTGGAGCTCCATCCTATGAAATCCTGTGATTTGTAGCTTTACAGGGTCTTTAGCCTTCTCTGGCACAGTGCTAGTGGCTCACAAAACTACAAATCCCAGGATTCGGTAGAATGGAGCCCTAGCGGTTTGTAGTGATGTCAAACCGCATCATTTCTACAGTGTAGATGCACCCAAATTTTCTTAAATGGATCCTCAAGCACAATCTCATGTTCTGAAAGAGATTATCTAGCATCCCCCATCCAAATGCAACCCACTCACTTGCTAATGGCATCCCATAGAGCGAGTTGTGCCTTGGCTAGATATCAATCAGAAAAATGCTTTTCAGGGGCCAGGATGTATTTGATGTACCTTAGTGACCACAAACGTTATCTGAGAAAAACACAGTACAGACTCATCCTATCAAAGGTGGGAATCCTAAAGAGATTTCAGGGACACCGGGTGCAGTTTTGTGTATACCCACTTTTCCTCCAATGAGCTCATTTGTTGTTGTGTGCCATCAAGTCATTTCCAACTTAAGGAGACTCTCATGTGAACCTACCATGGGTTTTGGTTGGCAAGATTTGTCCAGAAGGGGGTTACTATGGCCTTCCCCTGAGGCTGAGAGTATGTGACTTGCCTAAGGTCACCCAGTGGGTTTCATGGACAAGCTGACAATCAAACCCTGGTCTCCAGAGTCATAGTCCATCTCTCAAACTATTATGCCCCACTAGCTCTAATGAATTCATATCCTCCAACTTTTGAAAGATGGAAACCAGGACGTATCTGGCAAATACCATTACAATGTGGGAAAGTTCTTAATAAGGAAGAACAGTCAAGCTAAGAGATGCTGCATCAATTTTCTTTTGCCTAAATCTACAAGGAAGGGCATGATTTCCTTTCCTCTTCCTGCCAATGAGTTACTTAAGTGTAAACTATTTGGCAGCAATGGAAATCAAATAAGCAATGGACAAAGCAGGAAAGCAAGAGGAGGAAAAAGAAACCAGGACCTTTTAAGAGCAATTGAAAAAGTGGGATGTTAGAGGACTAATCAGGACTGTACTTGCAAAATCGGGACAGTTGAACATGTACAGCCAAAGGTGTACAGCAGGGGTTGGTAAACTATGGCCTGTGGGCCGAACCCGACCCACCGAGGCCTTCAAACCGGCCCGTGGCCAGTCCTGCCGCTGCCGCCGCCACCGTGCGCATGCGCCGCTACCGCTGCGTGCACAGGCGCGAGTGCGGGGCACCATTTTACCTTCCAAAATGGCACCTGCGCTCATGCACGCATGCGCACAACGGCGGGTGCCATTTTGGAAGGCAAAACGGTGCCGGCGTCGCAAGTGCATGCGCATGACGCCGGTGTCGTTTTGCCTTCCAAAATGGCACCTGCCATGGTGTGCATGCATACGCGAGCATGGGGCGCCATCCAAAACGGGAGAATCGGGGGAAACCGGAACCGGCCCCACCCCCAAAAAGTTTGCCGACCCCTAGTGTACAGCCACTTTTCTACTTTCTTGATGGTGCCCAGGCAGGGACAGCTAAGATATTTTGCTTGCTGATGTGGAACAGTAAATGGTGTCCTTCCTCATTTACTCAAGCCAGGGCATATGAAGAAGCTATTCTGGCACGCGAGGCAGAAAGTCCCACAAGCACCTCTTCTCTTCTCTGGCAGTAAAAAGACAGTAACAACAAATTAACTCACTAATGAGGTCCTGCCTTTTCATGACACTCAGACTCTGCCATCTCAATCTGTATAATCATTATCCTTTAGAGTTTAATGGGTCTGGCTCTGTGACCACTACACAGGGAACGCAAGCCCATCACAACAGATTGTGATCCTGTGGCCCAGGAATGCGGAATCTGTGACCCACCTGATAAAGTGGCCCTTCAATTCCCATCATCCCTGACCACTAACCATGCTGGCTGGGGCTGATGGGAATTAGAATCCAGCATAAACTGGATAGCCACGACCTTCTCACTGTTGTGTGCCTTCAAATCATTTCCAACTTATGGAGACCCATGGGTTTTTTCTTGATAAGATTTGTTCAGAGAAGGTTTGCCATTGTCTTCCCCTGACGTTGAGAGAGTGTGACTTGCCTAGTGGGTTTCATGGCTGAGACAGGAATCGAACCCTGGCCTCCAGAGTTGTAGTCCAACATTCAAACCACTACACCACACTGGTTCTCTCGCTATGCATCAAAATGTTAAGGTACTAAACTGAATCCATCAGTAATACAGTGTTTGACTTGCTCACCACAATATTACTACTTGGAGAGACCCTTGGTGGTATCCCATCTAAATACTAATCAGGCCTGATGCTGCTCAGCTTCCAAAACCAGACAAGATTGGGGGTTTGGGGTTTTTTTTCAGGCTATGTAGCTGTATTCTGGAAGAATGCATCCCTAACTACTTATGAAGATGCCAGCCACAGATGTAAGTGAAACATCAGGGATAAATTCTTCCTGAACACAGCCACACAGCCTGAAAAACCCACAAAAATTATGGATGCTGGCCATGAAAGCCTTCGACTTCACATAAGACTGGGTTTGTTCAAGAAGGCCTGGTGGCAACAGAAGAGCCAAAACAAGGAAGAATTATGGGCAGGATGTGAGAAGTACTGGGGTGAAGACCTCTGCCCTGTGGACCGAGCCTGTGGAGGTCTTTCTCTCTCCAAGGAAGTTACTATTTTAATTTAGAGTTTCTTTTTTGAAGGAGGAAAGGTAACAGGAATACACCAGAAGCAAGGAGGACATGTCCTCCTCTTTCGCCTGCTCATCTCATATTGATTTATTTGGGCTGGAATCCTGTTGATTCGTCCCAACTAGAGGAGATCCATTCAATGAATTGTTGGATGGTAAACCAGTGTCAAATGGTGAGTCTGTGTTGTGTAGTGGTTTGAGTGTTGGACTACAACTCTGGAGACCAGGGTTTCAATTCCCGCTCGACCATGGAAACCCACTGGCTGATCTTGGGCAAGTCACACTTTCTCAGCCTCAGAGGAAGACAAAAGCAAACCCTCTCTGAATAAGTCTTGCTGAGAAAACCCTATGATAGAGCCACCTCACAATTACCATAAGTCGGAATCACCTTGAAGGCACACAACAAGAAACCTTAAAGGTACCAGATCCTGTCTTATCTTGGAAGCTAGGAAGAGTCAGCCTTGGTTAGTTCTTGGATGGGAGACCGCCAATAAATACCAAGTGCTGTAGGGTATATTTTAGAGGAAGGAACTGGCAACATCACTTCTAAGTATACCTCGGCTAAGAAAACCCTATGACATTCATGGGGTCACCATAAATTGACAGGCGACCTGAAGGCACATACACATGCATAGACAAGTTGGAATAGGATACTGAATGATCACATTCTTCCTATACCTCAAGGTCTGCAGCAAGATATGACCAGATCTAATGGTTTTAACTTACAGTAGGATAGATTTTGATTAGACATTAGGAGGAACTTCTTGACAATAAGAGCAGTTCAGCAATGGAACCAATTGCCTAGAGTAATGGTGGATCTCCTTCTCTGGGAAGCTATATGCTGGGAATGCCTTGCATTAAGTGGGGGGTCCACAAAGCCCCTTCCAACCCTATGATTCTAAGACTCTGGAAGACCAGAGTTCGAATTCCCACTCAGCTAAGGAATCCCACTGGCTCACCTTGGGCAACTCCTATTCTCTCAGCCTTAGAGGAAAGCAAAGTCAAATCCCACCTGAAAAAATCTTGCCAAGAAAACCCTGTCATCCTAAGTTGGGGTCAACTTGAAAGCACATAATGACAACAGCAAATAATTATTATTACAATAACAATCATAATTATCAATCCCCAAAACACTTCCTTTGAATGCAAGCTTGCAATTAAGGCAGTTTAGTGTAATGGTTAGCTGATCAGATCAGAAGCAGAAAGGATAAAATTGCAAGCCTTGGTTTTGGGCTTTAGACTCAATGATGTTATTGTGATTATTTACATCATAGCCCTGAGCGTCACCCAACCAGTATGGGTGAAGATCAGGAAATGTAGTCCAAAAAAGTAACTTTTCTGGGCTCTGTGACTGTCACACATTTCCTAGGTCTGTATCTCTGCCCCTAAGCTACCTTAGCTTCCTAGATAGGTTATTTTTTCCCCCGTAAATACCTTTCCTCACAGTTCAATGACAAGAAGCCAACTCACGGTCTAACTTTTTCAGGAGCAAACCTGATCATTATTTCACAATTCATTAAAAAGCGATGGAGCCTCAGCTGATAAAATGACCAAGCACCTCAGGAATTTACAGCGCTTAAAAATAAAAAATAAAAATGTCCTTGTTTCCGGGGGAGACTGTCGTGCCAAGCAGCTATAAACTTGCTCAAGCAAAAGTATTGTTGACCTTAGAAATGCCAGAGCTACAGATTTTAAGAAGGATGGGGAGATCCACTCATTCCTGGATCACTTTTGTTTGTTTGTTTAGCCTATAGGTGAGTTCTTGATGTGAGATCACCTATCTACATCTCTGTAACTACTCATCCCAATTCTGTGTTTGCCTTCAAGTCTTTTCTGATTTACAGTGAACCTATCGCAGGGTTTTCTTGGCATATTTCTTCAGAGAGGGTTTGCCATTACCCTCCTCTGAGGCTGAGAGATTGTGACTTGCCCAAGGCCACCCAGTGGATTTTCACGGCTGAGTGGGGATTTGAACCCTGCTCTTCAGAATCATAAGCCAACAGTCAAACCACTAAACCACACTGTTTCCCAATGCTACCCCTCGAAAATTCACCTTGTAAGCAGGGTAGCCCACCCAAAGCAGCCATTTCCATACCCTTGGAGGGCCATTGGATGAATAGAGACTTGTCCAGCTATTTCTCTAAACCTAGGCACATTTTTCACAGATAGAAACTGAGATACATGTGGCCAAGCAACATCAATGTGTGGTCAAGATGGCAAAAACTATGAATGAACAAGCTAGGAGAGGCTACAGCAGTTTGCTTTTGCCTCAGCCAACTGGGAAGTGCAAGATCATCCTCCTCCTCTTCTACATTAATTTGAACTCAGTTTGCAGCAATTGAAGTAAACCAAGGAGGAAGGGGCAGAACTACAAACCAAACCTAATAAGTCAATTCTAACTTATGGGTCACACTATCTTAGGGTTATTCTTGCCAGGATTTACCCAAAGAAGGTTATCCATTGCTTTGCTCTTAAGGCTGATAGTGTGACTTGTGGAGTTTTCTAATGGAACCAAAACCAAGTCAGTAGTTACATTGTAGGCCTGATCCACCAATTAGTTTGGATACTTCCTTAGAAAACACATCCATTTTCTTTTCTTTTATATACGTTTGTGAAACAATTTTGGACCACAATTAATCACTGCATGTAGGTTGGCAACCCAAACATTTTCATGCATTGCTAGGGGAGCCTTTCCTTTCTTTTCTCACCCCAACACATACTGGTTTGTTTGTTTTACTTGGAATTGGGTTTGTTTTACTTGGAATTGGGTGTGAAACATATTTCAAGGAGCACCATCATTCAATTTCTGCTTTCCTACAAATCATAAATTAATTCATCGAGGCAGAGCCCGGAGGGTGAGTAAACATCCTAGTATCTATATTTAGCTTTACCTGGTGCTCTTAAACAAACCAAATGAGGTCGATTGAGCAAAAGCAAGGAAAAGGTTATCCTTCAGCTGTTTCACTTTTAATGGCAAAAATGAGGTTTTGCCTTATGACTGGTGATTCAGTCACCTGGAACAGAAAAGGAGTTAGCCAAATTTCTAAGCCTGGTCAGAGTTACCTGGTCAGCTTCATATTTCATACCTTCCAACTGTCCTAGACTGGCATGAACAGTCCCAAATTAATCACATATCACATTTTATCACATCTGATGCTCGGGGACAGACTGCCTCTGCACATGGAGGTTCCATTCCTAATTTCTATTCTCCTTCCATTTCTGGATCTATTCAAGTATCTAGCGTCAGCAATGGGTTGGCCTCACATTTTCATCACATTGCTTTTAAAATGTCCCAATTTTTCTCCTCCTCCTCCTCCCATTTACCCCCTTGTCCTTCCATTATTCCAACTGCTGCAAAGTGAGTTTAATGTGCAAAAGTAATAATAATAATAATAATAATAATAATAATAATAATAATAATAATAATAATAATAATAATAATTTTTATTTATATCCCGCCCCTCTGCAGAGCAATCGGACATTGCACTGAATTCATTCAGAGGAGGGAAGAGAAGAGAGCAGAATCTTCCCCTTCTCTGTAGACTCAGGCAAAAGCAAACTGCTGCAGCATCTCCTAGCTTTTCTGTTTTTCCTCATTAATAACCATGGTCCTCTTGACAACTCTGATGATGCTTGACCATCCTGATTTTCATCTGTGAAATGTTGGAGGGTATAATATTTTCCAAATCTGTCACTCCAATGTATTTTCGTTTCCAGCATTTCTCTCTCACATGCATTTCCTATCTCTCAGAAAAGCAGCAAAAACTGCCAACCCATTACCACTGCTAAATACTTTAACAGATCCAGAAATCTAAAGGGAATGGAAATTAGGAATGGAACCTCCATGTTCAAAAGCAGTCTATTCCTCCTTATCCAATGCGGGGGCATCACACCGGGGGAAAATGTTACTTTCACGCCCTCCCTGTGGACTTTCTCGAATCATCTCCTTGCCCCACAGAGTGAAAGTTAGGGAGTTGGATTAGATTTTGTTCCGGATGAGGACAACCTCTTCCCTTCCCACCTCCACAAATGAACTGCCTGTCCAGAAAGTTAAATGCTAAATCCGGTTTATAGTGCCAGAACAGCCATTCTGGTTTGACCAGATCTCTTGTGAGATTACACTTTCCTAAACTTTTTTTTTTTAAGGCCACCCTTATGCTAAATTTATTAACGGATTCGACTTCAGGAGCCAACTTTGGGCAGAAAAATGAAATGCACCCACACAGATAAGAACCTTCCATAAATAAAGAGCCAGGCAAGTGTGGAGGAGGAGAGATGGATCTTGATACTAACACAAATTTTATTGTTGCTCAGGTCTGGAGGCCTGATTTACTAACGGTGATTTGTTGCTAATTACTCTCAAGTCACCTTCAACTTACGGCAACTCTATGTATAAGAGACAACCAAGTCACTGCGATGAACCACTCTGCTCAGGTCTTGCAAACTCTGGGCCATTTTTTTAAAAAAAATTTATTTGACAGTA